AGCCACCTGGCCATGCCGGGCCCAGGGTTGGAGAAGCTTTCCATATTCGTCTACACACGGTAAGGATAGGAAGAATAAGTCAGAAAAAGGATCTTGGTGCGATATTCTATGATCCATAGATTATCTATATCAACGACTATTCCAAATGACATGTAAAAGGGAAAGAATCCTATCTCATATTAACTTTTACAAGTATTTATGTTATCTGCTTAGATGAGCAATCCGTCCCAGGAAGTGTACACAGACACAGGGTCAAACTGGTTGAGTTCTTTGTGATAGTCGTCCCCGTATGCAACCTTTGCCTAGCAAAATGGCTAGTACGTGTTTACGACCTTTTTTACGTCTGGCTTAACAAAATGCTATTAACTGAATGCAGAAAACCTGCATGGAAATTTAGAAAAATTACTTCAATATATCCTACTATAGATATATAGTAGGGTATATTCAAGTAATGTGGGAAATTAAGAGTTATTTCAACTGTGACAAACTTCGCTTCTTTATTTCAGTTTTCTAGTCTTGAATATTAAAATTAACTTTAATAGCTGAATAGTGTGATAATTACAGTCCTCAAGATGCCTCCCTCAGCTGACACACAAGGCGCCATGACACATACACCAAGAAAACAAAGGGAAACAGGCAACGTATGGGTCTATTAACAGTCAGGATTTACAGCTCCAAGTCAACACAATCTATGATAGGTGAAGTGGGCAATGCAAGGTTAAAAGTTACAACAATTTATTAACCTTTTCTTGATAATGGTCATCTGAATACAATTGGGACACACGTACCATGTGTTATGTCATTCATGATAAATACACTCATCACCATGACGTCAAAATGAGTTTGTCCCAAATATTAGTGGCTATGCCATCTCTATAGCTTTTATGGAACAACCACCTTGGCAAGACTCCTTACCATGCTACCTACTGTTCAGTAACTTCAATTATCCCACATACACATGAAATATTCTACCAACGTTTGGATCTCACAGAGGCAGAGTCGAGGTACAATGGGAAAATGATAGAATGCCAAACAAACACTATACACTGGTACCTGAAATTTTTAAGTCAACTACTTTACCACTAGTGACTAAATCTTCAAACCTTGAAGGTTTTCATAACCTGTCTGTTCCCACCTCTAACCTACTTCTGACAAAGGTAAACATAATCTCAATAAGTAAGTAAAATCATGTCCGAATTCAGTTATATTTATGTCATCCACAAAAACTGTTGCAACAATAAATACCTGAAATTTTTAAGTCAACTACTTTACCACTAGTGACCAAATCTTCTAACCTTGAAGGTTTTTATAACCTGTCTGTTCCCACCTCTAACCTACTTCTGACAAAGGTAAACATAATCTCAATAAGTAAGTAAAATCATGTTCGAATTCAGTTATATTTATGTCATCCACAAAAACTGTTGCAACAATAAAATTAAATGTAGTTAACAAAAAAATTCGTGAATAATGAATACCTTATTCAGAGATTAATACAAAAATAAAATAAAAGATCAGAAAGTTTGGAAATAGTTTGGTATACACAAAAACAAATATATTTCTCAATTAAAACTATTAACAACACTAAGTTCACTAAGATTCCTTCATTTTAATGAGTAAATAATTGTGATTTCACTCCATAAAGACTGAGTCACATAATTTTTGAATATCCTCATAAACAGTAAGGTATATACTTCCAGATTCTTCCTCCACATCATCTGAGATGAGATCCCACAATAAAGTATGATAATCATCAGGATGAATCTGGAAATTTCCTTCGATTCCAGAGTGACTACTTCTGCAGAGGCTAGTCAGTGATACAGAGTTTAAATTTGTTGATATGTTTGATGCGCGTACTGCACTACGTGGATGCTGTAAATTATAATCCATTTCAATGAGCTGTTGACAGGAAAATATGGATCAACTCAGCTTAAACTTCGATGTTTCTGTTCTGCAGGTACATAAAGCAACCATGCTTAGTTAACAGCTTCGAATTTTTGTTCCATTACTGTTTTGTCACAATACTCTTGATGGATGGCTGATTTCCTCATTGCTGCTATACAAATTAATGCGTGTTGACTATTGCAGAATTCATACATTACGCGTATTTCTGTAGACACTGCAATACTTCTGTGCTGGGTAGGGAGTTATAGATGAGATCTACAGGAAGCTGTACTTCTTTTGCAAATATGAGGAGATTAAAAAAAACAATGAATTGACTGTTGCTCAGTTGTGAAGGGGTATGCCATCGTGATATTTTACACGTGTTATTTCTTATCAGTTTGGTCAGGGTTTACAGACCTAGCAAGCACTTGTTTGGCTGTATGTACTGTTCATACATCCAAACCAGGATCATATGATGAAGTTCATAATTTGAACACACTTTCTCGAAGCACAACTTGTCAAAGTGCTTGATCTGTACAGACTTATCTAGGTGTGCAAACGCATAATATCCACTGTTCAGTCAACACATTGGTGACAGACTGTGCTGGCGTTTCAGCTCACTTAGTGAAGTAATCGATAATGATCAGTTGGAGGTTTTTCTGGCATGATCTGTGTTTTTCTGGGTAGTGCATGTAATACAATACCTGTACTATTGCTCAATATCTTGAAACAAATGCAACCAAAATGACCACTTTCATATATCTAGCCCATAAAAATCATTGCTTTATGTAAAGTCTAAAATAATTTTCTGGCTTAGAGATCTATGGAACATAGCTGTATCAGGTGTTAATTACCATATCTTCAATATTCATGACAGTACAGCGTGCCATCCTGCACTCACAACTAGATATTCAAGTGCTTACCAGTTTGTCACAGACATGTGCTACCTCGCTGAACAGCAAGTAGTGCCTAAGTAAGATCTAAGTCCTTTAGTTGTTCCTTCTGAAGTTTCTGACTGGTCATTTCTGGTGTTCATCCAGATGCAGAATTGTCACTGTTCATATGGTTTATCGCCACTGCTGCTGCAATGGCTTTAACCACTACATACTAGGATATGAACAATCAATGAATGAACATGATATCACGGATTGAGGAGATAATCCATCTACATTTCTATGCTGTCTGTCTGGGAAGTGTTATAGAACTAAACTCTACTTTTGTAGTGTCGTTATCCAATGTGCAATAATACCATCCATGTATTTGAAGTTTATTAGTCATTTCAATGACACATGGTCTACTCAAATGGTGAACTCCAAACAAAACGAGTTGGAATGGTACTTTTAAATAAATACTACGAATACAAGCAGTTGTATTGGTGCTCAGGAGCAGTAACATAAATTTCTTATGTGATTACTCAATCTATAAAGTCATATATTTGTGAAAAAAAATGGACCAATCCCACAAACACTGGCGTCTGTATACAGTATGAATGCACCAGTCTGATGAAAATAAGCCAGCACAGGTGTTTCATTCAAGGTCTGCTTTAAGAACAAGAATATGACTTCATATTCTAATGTTCTCACAAAGTGTAGGTAAACCTTAGTCAATACAAACAGTAATATGTGGCTGTTTTGGAGAAACTGGCCACAAACTCTTGATAATAAAATGTGAAATCTAGAAAGCTGCATAACAACAACAACAAAAGATAAAATAAAGACTTGGATAACGAAAAATGAGTTACCCATCTTTCTGCACAGTTGTAAAAGTCATCTGTAACAGCCAGAATGTCGAAATGATTATCAAGAACTATTGTTTGTTCTTTTCAGTTTGTACAGCACTGTCAAACAAAAAGTTCTCATGAATCAGATTTAGATATATGGAGAAAAAAAATACAATCAGAATTTGTTGAAGATGTGGAGTGCCTCTCACTGTTACTTGACGTAAAGAGCAATGGATTTATTAACTCCTGCATAAATCTACTTCATCCTCAAATAATGAAACATTATGACCAGTATTCACAATCATTACCACTTTCATTTCCTTAAATTGCTCAAGAAGCAGATTTATCAAAGATGTTCTACTCCTTTTGAACACGAGGTGGAGGATTCTTTTGTGATTTTTTCAAAATAATTTGAGTTCTCAGAGAACATAAACGTGGCCCAATGTTACATTACCTCTGGAGTTATTTCTTTATACTTTGTTTAAATAATACTCATTTGGAGTGTTTGTTTATACATATAATAAACGTTTCTCACACAAGGTACTTTCACAGCTGGTCATTATGGACAAGTTTTAGTTTCTCGTGGTTGTGTGAAATACCACACACCACTTCAGTGATAGTTTTTACCAGTGTTTATAGGACTTTGAGTGACAATTCAACAATTATTTTAGGCTTATATAAACACAAAATATTACCAACTTTTCTTACTATCTTTGCTGCTTGTCATTGGCTAACCTCAGCATTTCATGAGTAAACACAAGAGCAGTGTCCATCATACTCATCAAATGATCAAATTAATTTATGTAAATATCTTTGGCCTAATCTTACTCTTCGTAATAATTGTAGAGAGGCATCTTTTGTTCATGGATCAAATACAAACAATAATGGTAGATAATTCATTGCTACCTATATAGCAAGTGTAGTAAGTTGTCATACTGAGTGATGTCTACCTCCTTAACTCTTTAGTTACATATATTTTTTTCCCAAAATTCTTATGCATATAGCAGGTAAGTTTAAGTTAGGATGTTGGCTCAGAAAGCAGCTACTCTCTGATGGTTTATTGGAAAGTGTGAGAGCTTATAATGCTAAAAATTGAGTTTCAATACCCTTGGTTGACAGAGCACAAACAGACCGTTTTAACTCTATGTGCTTAATAACAACCAAACCAGTTAAGTTCCCTTTGCCTTAGTTGCCTACAAACAGTACTAGGTCATCGACCTGTGGTTGTTATATTTGTTGTGCAAAAAGTTGCTGTACAGCCATTTTTACTATGTAAAAGTGTATAGTGAAGTTTTACACTGGTAGGTCAGGTAATACCTCGAGGTAGTGTTTTCCTTTATTTTTAGATGAGAATGATCAACAGCCACATGGGTTGCACAAGTGTCTTGAGAAGTCTATGATTATTGTTTCAGGTATATAATGCTACATTTTCTCAATCTGGGATGATCAACAGCCACATGGGTTGCACAAGTGTCTTGAGAAGTCTATGATTATTGTTTCAGGTATATAATGCTACATTTTCTCAATCTGGGATGATCAACAGCCACATGGGTTGCACAAGTGTCTTGAGAAGTCTGTGATTATTGTTTCAGGTATATAATGCTACATTTTCTCAATCTGGGATACAAAGAGATATTTCAGAAAAACAACCAACTAGGAGCTTTCCAGTAAAGGCTGTGTCCTTTGTGTACAAACATTCGTTTTCTTTGATTGCTTTTGTCGAGAATTTACAAATTGTTCCACTTTGTTTCACACTGTGTCCAGTCACTTTTGTTTTACATAAACTCAAACAAAATCAGATAATACAACTCAACTTTTTCATAACCTCTATTTATTCAGTGGAACCTACCCGATTACTCTTAGGGAAAATCAGAACATCTGAGAATTCCAAATACGTGTAGGGTAATCATAAAGAACGCTCGTATTTAAAATTATTATATTTCAAACAATGCTTGTCTTATGAGAACAAAATTTTTCAGAAGTATATTGAAAACCACAAGTTTTATTCAGAAAAGTATGAACATAGTAGTGGATGTTTCAAAAACTGTCACAGACAAAGTTCTCATTGATCTTCGCAATACTACGAACATTGACATGTATTTTATTCAAATCACCAAAGTCATACTGTTGACAGAGAAGGGAAATAAAACTAATGCTAGTTTGGAGAAAAACGATTTAAATATGTAGTATAATACGATTTTGAAACACGATATAGAATGTCTTAAACGTTCATGAATTAAATTTATGATTCCTAGTGTACCTCTCGAGCTTTTGTTACCCTAGTATAAGTATTTTTAAAATATAATCATTTTTTTAAACGTGGAGTTTTATTTATAAACGACATGTATGTAGCTCAACACTAAAAGTCTTAGATCTTGGGTACATGCACCTCTACCGTTAATAACTTTTTAACAATACTCTGGAAATACGACACTGAAAATGCCTTTTACAATTTCATGGATTTTGCATATTATTATCATTTAAATTTTAACACTCTTTGAAAGTCCCTTGAAAGTAGTAACGTTCTTTTATTTTTTGCTTTGTTTGTAATTAAGCACAAAGCTACACAATGGGCTATCTGTGCTCTGCCCACCACGGGTATCGAAACCCGGATTCTAGCGTTGTAAGTCTGCAGACATTTTTTTGCTTTATTTTACCCTCTACAATTTTCACATAATTGTTTTAACATTCTAAAGCTTACAGTTATGTTTGACTGCCAATCGCACTCCTGGTACTATTTATGTACTGGGATCTAAACTAGGTTCTTTGGGGATTAAAACATGAATAAAAACTTACTGAGAAATAATAACTAAAGTTGATTAACTCAATGAAGGAAAAAGAATAAACAAATTGCTACAATTCACCCATTGCGACTTCATCAAAAAAATAGAACAAGCTATTAAGCTAAATTTCTTTTATCAATTAAAACCCGTGGTTTATTTTAATAGAATAATCATTTCAACAAATCCTACATTCTTCTACACTGTTTATCTGATTTTCTTCTAGAGTCGTATCATTTGGTTTAACTTTATATAAAACGAAAATAAAATTCGCGAAACCTGTAGAGCATTTAATCTTAGAACACTTAATGACTGCTACTGGTTCATAAAAAAAAACAACAACAACTGACTCCTTCTGGAAGCGTTACATAATGATACATCCAACATTTTGAAGAGTCGAGAAAAATGCCAATGTGAACTCTGCATACTATCAAGCCAACGTTCTAACAACATTAATGAGAATGAAAGCCAATAAAGTTTCCTTAAGCCAAAGCATTCAGTCACGTCAACATCCTAGTCCCTCCCCAGTACTTAAATGTAAACGAGAATTTATGCCTTGCCATTTGGAAAACGTGTAATGAGGTAAGAGACAAAAATTGACCTCAGTGTTTTGCGCAAAAGCGTCCTAAAATGATTTGGTTTGTTTCGAATTTCGCGTAAAGCTACACGAGGGCCATCTGCGCCAGCCGTCCCTAATTTAGCAGTGAAAGACTAGAGAGAAGGCAGCTAGTTATCACCACTCACCGTCAACTCTTGGGTTACTACTCTTTTACCAACGAATAGTGGGATCGACCGTCACTTCATAACGCCCCTACGGCTGAAAGGGCGAGCATGTTTGGTGGGATGGGGAGTCGAACCTGCGACCCTCAGATTGTGAGTCAAGCGCCCTAACCACCTGGCCATGTCCTCAAGTGAAAATTTAGGTAGTGATAAACGTGTCTCTAAACATTGGTAATCATCTTTGTATCCTTACCATAAATCGTAAAAAAAAACTATATTCTTCATTTGTTATGCAGTTGTTAATGCAGTAAGTTTTGCTTCTAAAACTAAATTCTCGAATTTTATCTCTCAACACGTTCTTAAAGAATTTGATCTTGTTGAAAGCCCAATTTACATGCGTACGACATTGAAAATGTATTTACTATTATTTACAAAATACGTTATAATTATTGTAAATTTTTGTGATTAAAATAACACAAAACCTCAAAGATAGTTTAATTAATAAAAAACAACAAAATAATCAAACCGATTACCCTCCTCTTTTTTTCACCGTAATTTTGTGAAGAAACTTTACTATCTCCACGCCCCCAGTGGTACAGCGGGGATGTCTGTGGACTTACAACACTAGAATCCGGGTTTTGATACCCGTGGTCGGCAGAGTACAGGTAGTCCATTGTAGCTTTATGCTTAATTACAAACAAAGTAATTAACTCCACGCGTTGAGTTAGGATGTTTATATTACATTCTAAGAAAAAAGAACGTGAAAAAGAAGATAACATTCATATACATGTCTTGTTTTAAATGGCCAAGGCTTCCAACTGGTTTGATACATCTTTTTTTTTGACAGTAAGACTAGTGTATGCAGAATACGTTACTACTTGCCATCACACTTTTGTTTTTACTTGCATATCCAGTTGGCCTAATAAAACTTACTGATTCTGAATCCGAAATTAAAAGCAATGTGGAAACAAAAATATCTGCAGGTTACATGCTTCACCAGCTTTCGGCATTTAAAGTAACTTTGAAAGACTCCAAGGAGTTTGATTAAAAACAGCAGTATCTTAGAAAAGTACCTCCTCTTCCCAGTTTTCTTTCGAAACGGACAGTACAAAATTCTAAAAACACTGACGACAGATAATAATCCCAAGTTTCTTTTGTCATTTAAAACACCACGACATTTTGAGAAATAATCTTGAACTATTATTATAACTACTGAACAATGTGTTGTCAGTGTTACTTTTACAAAACAAAAAGAGTATATTATAACCTGTGACATGGTATATTTTCAGATATATTGTGCTATTGGATATTAACATTGTATTCACGAGCGTTGTTGTTAGTAACTGTGTTACCGAAAATAATTACCTGAAACAAATAATGAAGACATTATCTCCAATTGTGTCAAAACTATATACTAGGTTTAATCTGTTTTGAGTTGCTCCATTAATTTTATAAACATTTTATGAAATTTTTTGCTAGAAATAAACACATTAGTTTTAAGTTCTAAAATCGAAGGTGGTAATACATGCAATTAATGACGATATAAATGATACACAATTAGTGGTTGGTGAAAACAGGTTTTTTTTTTATGGGAAGACTAAGCTTTACAGATGGGAAATGACGAATTAATGTTTAGATAGGTTTATGTTGTACCTTTTTAGTTTACATAAGGTATGTAAATTATGAAATGAATACAAAAAGCTATTGTAACACAAATTTCATACGGGTAAAGAATATAAAATTATACACTGAAATTATTTGGTGCATATTTTACTTAAATATCTTCAGCATGTTTGATTGCATTAGCGCAAAACTAAATAAGGGGTTATCAGTACTCTGCCAACCGTGGGAAATGGAACCCCAGATTTTAGTGTTATAAATCTGTAAACTTACCATTGACCCATCATGGGAATTTTCAGTACATCATATATTTCCTGAACATACTCAAAATTTTATGTTTATTAAAGAACTAGCAGAAATGTCGCCCAATGGGGCGGCTGTTCGGTCAGGATGTGAGCGAGCAATTTGACGTGCTTCTGTAGTTCAGGTTTGTTCCTGGCTTCTTATTATTGGATCTTGCTTCATAACTTGGTGAGCAAGCCTATCTCTTTGGTTCTGTAATTTTTATCCTGACGTTTAATTTTCTTTCTAAAAGTTTCAGACTTTCTCCGTGATAAGTCATTTTCCGTCTGGCAATTTACGACATCGTGATTTTCGATGTTCTTGATCACTTTATACCCATTACTGAAGTAAAAAAAAATACTTGTGTAACTTACGAAGATCGAGTTACTACAAATCTGTATGCAACGAACAGTTCAATTCATAGCGTACGCTTGGATTCTCCAGCAGAAAATGTACCTTTTCTTCTGAAATATCACAATGATTCTCCACTAGGAAGACTAACTTTTAAATTCTGCATTAAACTCACTTTACCAAAATTTTAAAAGTTTTATTTAAAAAATTAATTTCGTTGATAATAATAATAAATGTACAAAATTAATGTACATTATTAAAATAGAAAGAAACGCCATTTCTCTATTAAGAAAGCGATTTAGGAAAAAAAAAAATGTTATAAAATAAGGTGCTATTATTTTTAGCCAGGGTCTATTTTATAACATTTTTCATTTTGTTGCGGTATAAAGCTGTTATTGACTTAGTTCATAAAAAAAAAGTGGACAAGTGTACTAAATAAAAGTTTTTTTTTTCTTCTAAATAAGAGACCCAATTGTAATGAAACTTTGGTAGGAACTTCCCCTTATGATGTTGAAAAATCGTGCAAAGTTTCATCCCAATCGGACTTAAACTGTGGGAGAAGTTTTACGGACAGACGGACATTAGCCTCATATATATATACACCTGGAAAAAAGTTAAGCACCCCCGTGTTTTTTTCAAGTGATTCAGATTCGACGTTCTTGTGACTGATTATAAATTGCCATTCAATCTAAACGTGTTTATCAAATGAAATTATGCATTATTGGGCACAAGAAAACAAGATTATCACCGTAA